TCATACGCTGATTTAATACCGGTACATACCGGTTACCATGGTACCGGTGCTATAATGGCACCGGGTTTTGGTACCCAACCCTAGTGAGGAGTGGATTAATGAAACTGAAAATGCAGGAATACATTACACATTGAAATGTTAATGATGAAAGACATCAGCTGGAATCAAATGTGAAATGTATTGTAGCTGTTTTAAATCATAATAATATTTCAAAAGATACAAAGAATACTAATATTTTCCTTTATCTTGTTATCAAACTAATGCAGGCTTTGTGAAGATAAGAGCCTCTTTCAAAAGTTTTTTTTTTAACAAAACCCCAAACATTTAAGCAGTATTTTGTCTTTTAGGGGGGGAAAAAAATCAATGAGCAATTTTTAAAAAGAGATTAGTTTCTAAACATTCCACACTTTACGTCTATTTCAACACAATAGATTACTAAAAAAAATTCAAGTCATTAATCCTTAAAGCAATTCTTTTAAAATCATGCTTTGATTGTGTCTGTCTGTGATTATCAATCAATTTTTAATATAAATAAAGCCATATTGACCCAACAGATATCTTGTTTACCGCAGACCTGTGCAGTTTACTCTTCAGTCTCTTTCCAGCCCTAATCAAAAGTAATGCTGTTTTAGCAAATTAGATGACTGGAGGATGTCTTTACTTGTATTCATTAGCCAAAATGAACTATATTAATGTTGAATTTTTATTAATTAATTAATATTCCTTTGTGTCCTCATAAGAAAGATCGGCGTAATTGGAAAATGCGATGGAGCTGTGAGAGAGAGAGAGAGCTTGAGTTTGAATGCTGCTGTAATTTGGATTTGTAGAAGCAGTGGTAGAGAAAATGACAGGCTGTTTACGGCTCTTGTGCAAGCTCTGGTTAATAGATTTCTAATTGGACTCATTAGCCATGCAGGAATCGCTCACAGGGGCGCTCTCGTGCAACGCTGACAGACAGGTTCACTGCTTGTCGTCACACTTGGCCTGTTGAAGCCAAAGGAGTGTGTTGTCCACCTGTTTTGAGAGGATCTATTTAGTGTTTTTTTTTTTTCTTTGGGGTGGGGGGTATTACACACCGGATGAATCCTCACAGCTGGTTTTCTCATTCTGGCATCGATTCTTTCTGTGGGATCTTACTGATATGAATGACCAATAGGTGGAGCAGTGAACCTTGAAAAGTCCAGATCTTCTTTTTGCTCATATTTGCACATTGTGAAAATGCCTTCACTCATTGCGTAAGTAGCTACGGCTGGTGTTGGTAACACTTGTGATTTTAATATTCAGTTGTGGCAAAAACGACTTTGATCTTGAAGGTACTTTGATCTTAGTTAGATACTATTCATGTGTGTGTGTGTGTGTGTGTGTGTGTGTATTATATATGCACAATGTTCATATGTCTATATTATTTTTTCTATACTTTTATAGTCACTTTAAAGTCACTTAAATCATCTTTCTTCCCCATTCTGATGCTCGATTTGAACTGCAGCAGATCGTCTTGACTATGCAGATCGTCTAAATGTGATTGACTGTTTAGAAATTTGCGTTATCGAGCGTTATCGTTATCATACCTAATAAAGTGGCCGGCGAGTGTGTGTGTGTGTGTGTGTGTATATATATATATGTATATATATATATATATGTATATATATATATAAATATACAATATATAACTGTGCGAGTGATCTTCTTCTGGAATGCACATAGACATTTTTAATTTGATGTTGTTTTGGACCCCACTGACTTTCATTGTCATGATTGTCTTTACATCGATCAATGTTCAGTATTTTATTCTCTACATGACAATCATGCAGGTTTAGAGTGATTTGACACTAAATAATAACATCATTGTAAATTCTATTTCAACCATCCCCTAAAGACCAAGAACCAATGCATATGTGAGTTGAGGTGGTTTTTGAGTCATTTCCGTCCCACACATATACATACATACACACACACATACACATACATCCCAGTGTTCTCCTGCCAGTCGGCCTCAGCTTTTCACAGTGTGATCTGCTAACATACGCCACTGCTCAGCTGAGTCTGCCATCTGTTCAGCTCTCACCGCCACGCCAACACTTCACAGCCGCGCCGCCCTCTCACTTCTGACACACACACACACACACACACACACACACACGCACACGCACACACGCACACACATGTATGATGCCCATATCTATTGCCTTAGCCATCTCTTCATCTGCACAGGGACTTTTAATTTTGCATAAGCCCGCTTGTGTGCTTCCTGGAACTGTCATGCCATTATAAACTCCCAGCCTTTAGGAGCTGGCTTGTTTAAAGTATATGAAGTGAGTCTCAGACCAGACACAAATCACTGCATTGAATTCCATTGTTCCTGCATCATACATGAAAAGGGCAATTTTACCATGGTATTTTCAATGGAGTTTCTGCGCTCACTTGCTGCTCCTGACGGCACATGTGTTTAAACAGCTTTTCCTCTCATTTTATACTGGAAAAACAAAACGAAATCTATTTAATGGGCTTTATTTGAATTCGATTACATTATTGATGCTGTTAAAGAAACGCATCAAACTTTCACCAGAAGTTTATCGATGGCTGAAAAACACATATAGAGGAAGTTCTGTTAAACTGGGAACAATCAGTGAAGTGTTTTAAAAACCTGGGTAGAATGAGGTGTCCTTGTTCTTCTATAATATATATTTTTTTATTATATTCATTATTATTTTGCTTATCAATTAAATATTACAAGACAACTGAACAGATTACTTCAGCAGACCACAAATAACTTACAATTTACAACTTTCAAAATTATAGGCATGTTGGATATTGCTCTAGGCTACTATAAATATAAGGCAACACAGTAAACCTAAATAAGCAAACAGATATGCTTGTGATATTACCGCCACGTTAAAATTTGAAGCGTAACCTTATTTTTATGACTGATAAAGATAAAGCAAAACCTAAACAAACCTGTGACTTAAGGCCTGTGCACACCGAGATGTTTTTTGCTCGTGTTTTTCGTCGACGTTTAACGCCTTGTGACTAAATAAAAGGCGTCAATGTGATTGTGCACACCAATGCGCAAAACGCCAGGCGTAAAAGGGTAATTTAAAAAAAAAAAACCTCATGCTCGTTTTTTCGTTTTGACAATCAGGTTGGCACTTTTGTTCGTATGCAAGGGGCTGCTGAAGTTAGAGTAAACAACACTTGCGAGTGCACATTGAAGAAGATTATAAACATGGAGCTGCTTATTGCTCTGGTAAACAATAATAATTTCTTCATCGCTAGAGCTGGAGCTGCTACTTGAACCATCCATAACAACAAGCGTGTCAACTTTGTCATCTTCTTCAGTGTTATAAGCGGGTGTCAGAAGCTTAAAGTTGTGTAGCGCCATCTAACATCAAGAAGGGATTTTGCATACTCTTTTGCTCGACGCCAGTGAAAATCGATTGGGTTTGAATCCGGAAAAATGTTTTGGAAAAACTCTGACGATAAACGCAAACTAAAAGCGTTCCGGTGTGTACAAGCCTGAAATATTAATGTGCTCACTAATGGTCCAGATAACTAAAGTACCAAGATGAGCCTGTGTTATTAGATTTAAAGGTTGTTTTCTGGGAATAACATGTAGATGTACAAATGTTGTGTTTGACCAGAATCAACTGTTTCAGAGAGCTGTGTAATAAATACTTAAATAAATATGGCTTATGTAATTGTGTGTGTTAAAGGGGACCCATTTTTCCCCGTTTTACAAGATGTAAAATACGTTTTGGATTTTTGTAGAGTGTGAAGTTCCAGCTCAAAATACCTCATAAATAATGTTTTATAACTCTTTGAAACTGCCCCTTTTAGGCTTTATTCCTAATTGTGCCTTTTTTGGTGACTGTCGCTTTAAATTCAAATGAGATGAGATTTTGAAAAGAGGGTGAAGCTACACATGCCTATACATTTGGATAGCTGCATCCTCCAAATGGCTGCTTCTCACTCAGGGCTTTTTATGCTAATGAGGGAGAGATCGTCACTAATGGGTGTTGCTTTCCCCCTGTGATGATTTACAAAGGGAGAATGTCAATCGAAGTGTTTCTGTGTTTTTATGCAGTCCGATTCTAAAAGAAAAAAAAATTGAATTAATTAATTTACCATTAGAGGCTGGCTATATTCACATACTGCTGCCACACAAGTTTGTTTAAACACCCTATAAAAGTGATACTTGCGTAATAAGTCCCCTTTTTTATTCTTTAATTTTTTAATCAGGATTCTCATTAGCCATTACCAAGATAGTGGCTATTCTTCCTGGGGTCCATCGAACATAACACAAAATTACATTAATACATACCAACAAAGACCAATAAAACTAAATTCATACATAGCATCCAGATCAACAATCCACTTAATATTGCTTCATTAAATATTTCTTAAACGATTTTTCATACCTCATTTTACTTGTTACAAAGCGTGTGATGTCTGATGGCAATTCATTCCATGTTTTCATTCCTCTATACATTACAGTCCGTTGCTTTGCATTCATTTTTTGAAATGGTCTTTAAATTAGTCTTTAAATATATTAGGCCAGTTTGCTTGTTGACTGTTTCTCCAGAAGATGATTCAGCATGATGAAACATACTGTATATTTTTATCTACTATATTTTTAGCCATATTTACCTTTATTGGAGTAAAACTTTGTCATATAGTTTCTGTATCTTTTTACACCCCTGAAGCCTTATATTTTACAGCCTGACCTTTCACTCAGCCATTATCACCTGCTCAGTGTTTGAACGTCCTAATAAAACATTTATTATATTGTTACAGAGTCATTACTGCACACATTGAGCACATAAAAATCCTAAAATAGAGTTCAATTCAATTAAAATCTATTTTCCTTGTGCTACTTTTAAGGCCTCAGCTAATGCTTGAAATGATTAAAAAAAAGGTGTCGAATGCATGAACGGATTATGTAGTTTTGTTAGGCTCGGACGTGTGGAACAGATGTTAACCTTTAGCTTGTTCTCATTTTACAGGTGTCTAAACGAGTGGCGGACCTCATTCTGGAGAAACAGCCCTCCTATGTGAAGGTAAGCAGTCTGGGTCCACAGGATAGCTTTAATTAACATATGACTTCCAGCGGGTTCCTTTTTCATCAGCGCTAGAGAAATGAATTGAAAGTGTTTTTTTTTTAACTGCAAAAAATCTTTCCTCAATTTATGGGTTATACAGCAGTGCTGAGTGAAATTAGTTTTAAAGTTACTAGTTACTGTACTGTAATCACTTTTCTGTTGTGAAAGTAAAATAAGGAATTACTTTTCAATTTCAAAATTATTTAATTACAGGTAAATAAATATTTACTTAACACTGATATGCGTAAGTAATTTGTCATTTGTATTTGTAATTGTATTTGTAGATACAACAATTTTATCTGGTTCCTCGAATCTCATTGGCTGATAGCCGTGCGATATTCCCTTAATAACAACAATCGTACAGCCTCCTCACCCTACTGTATCACTCTGCCGACATAGAGTGACAGCAGATTCATAAACTCTCTACAGTTTGACAGATATTGCAGCTGTTGGACAACATAATGTACTATTGTGGCTTTTTTTTAGGTGAGAATGTAGTTGTTGGGATTGCAGCTATGCAGTTTATTTATAAGTATATTGACCATTTTAAATATTTATTATTTTGGAGATCTACATCTATCAGCCTGTCATACAGAGCAGAGCTAAAACAGTTGACGTTGTCAATCCACAAAATGGCAACAGAGACAGTATAATAAGCCCTTAGAGGAGAAAAACTATAGAAAAACTCAATTCAAACTACAGCTGATCAAATCATTATACAACTGGTAAGTGACATTCTATGTCGATCTCTCTCTTTTTAATGTTGTAGTGCTGTATTTATACCATATAAATTGTAGTGTATTGAATGTGAGATGGGACTCAAACTGTATCAGGAATGTATGTATTTTGTGTTGGCCACTTTTTGTATATTTTGGATGTCCATCTGTTTGTTTCTAATGAGTCTGCGGTTTTCGTTAGTGCAGACTAGAAATGCCCGCATGTGTTTAGCGTTTTTTCCTTATCGCAAACAACAGAAATCTGGTAGGTTTGTGCTGCTTTGGCTTTTTTGATTTCCCGATTGCAACAGAGAAATACTGGGAAATCTCTGTAAACTGATGGCATTTCATGTCAAGGTCAGCCTTATAATCTTAAAGTGTCAGCAAAATCCCGTTTTGTCATCACTTTAGACATTATGCTAGAGAATCGGTCAAATGCCAGCTCTAAAGTGGCGTTTGTGAAGTAGTAACTGGTTTCTGCTGTTCTGACGTCAGCTGCAGATGTGAATGAACGGTGGAACAAAGTAGTTCCTAATACAAAAGGATTTTTTAGACTCTCCGTGTTTGATTTTCTTTTTTAAACACTCTATTATGCCGTCAAACTGTTGCATAAACGCAATATTGCACAAGTAGCAGTGCGATATGGCTTTACTGTACATCGTCACTGGTGGAACACAACGCACACCTTCAACCAGTGCTGATATACAGCCATATCGCACTGCTACTTGTGTGATGTTGCTCATATATAGTGCTGGACAAAAATAAATTGCAATTAATTGCATTTAAAACAAAAGATTTCACTTAAAATGTGTGTGTGTACTGTGTATGTTTATTATCTATATATAAATGTACACGTGCATGCATATATTTGGGAAAATGTTTATTTGTATTTATTTAAAAAATATATATATATGTCTAGGATAAAACTATATATAATGTAAATATCTATGTTATATATTTTTTTTGTTATGATTTTGTTTTTATGTGTCTGTATCACATAATAACTATATGGAACACGCACATTAATGGAAATTAATGGAAATTAATGTAAATATTTTGTATTTTTGAACAATGATCTCATTATTACTTTGAAACATTGTGTTCTGATACTTGTTTAACATTTCTCAAGTGTCCTTTTTTAAAACTTGATATAAAAGACCATCAAATTTAATACATTTAAAGAGTTTAATTTGTATTCTGTTTGCTTTGTGATTTGTAAGAATTTGAAGTAGTATTAAGTAGAGTAATTAAAACACCTAACCTAGACAAAGTAATTAGAAAGTTGTTTTAATACATATTTAATGATGTAATTAATAGTAAATGACTTTTTTATAATAACTTACGCAGCACTGTATTACAGCAAGACACTTGGAAAGGAAGAATCTGGGACCCATTTGTTGTTGAAATGTTTTAATATTCAATGTAGGGCATATTATTAATATCATGTTTATAATTTATTTTTAATTAATTTAACATTATTGTTTTTCCTTATAATTGTTATTTAATCAGATTATAAAAATTAAACTAAACAGTAATTAAATGTGTTTTTTTGTTATTTAATCAAATGATAATATTAAACAATTCAAGATTTAAATATTATAAAAAATGTATCTTTCATAGCCACCATGCATAGAGTATTTTTCATAATCACCACGGTGATGAAACCGTTAAGCTTTTTAAATATATATTTGTAAAAATCAGATTTGTGCAGAGCGTTTAGCAGGTGATGCTGCCTGATTGGCTTCAGAAACTGTGATTTCCATGCAATTTGGGATCAAAGTGGAAGCAGAAGTCAAAGCTCTGTGCCTCTTGCCTTTGGTCGTATTTCTCTCTTGTCCTTCAACTACACTGTGAATCCCTGAATGGATCACTTTGGACTGCTTTGAAATTGATCTTAAAGATGTTCACAGCCTGAAATGCTGTGCTTTGATCGTGTGTCAGGATTTGTGTTTGGATTCCCTCTTGATCCCTGATGGAGGCAGTTGTCAGTTGTTTTTTTCTTGATAATGGTTTAATTTTGACATCAGAGGGCCAAAAGAGTTCTTTCAAAATTGGATCGGACAGAACTCTGCAGAATATGCGTTTCATACAGTTGAAGTCATAATTATTAGCTGTCCTGTACATTTTTTTTCTAAATATTTCCCAAATTGTGTTTAACAGAGTAAGACATTTTTCTCAGTATTTTCTATTATATTTTTTTCTTCAGAAAAAAAGTATTTTATTTGTTTTATTACGGCTAGAATTTAAGCAGTTTTATTTATTTATTTTTAACCATTTTAAGGTCAACATTTTTAGACCCCTTTACCAATATTTATTTTCGATTGTCGATAATCATTGTTACTGTATACAATGATTTAAAAGCGGTTTCTAAATTTTTACGAATTCCTTTCTTCTGATGAACACAAAATAAGATGTTCTGAAGACAGACAAAAACTGATTACCATTGACATTGTATGTTAAATGCTGTAGAGCTTTGTTTTTAAGACTACTACCAAAAATGTAGGTTACTTTAAAAGTTAGTCAGTCATTATATTTTCATGAATGACGTTCTTACCTTTGTGAAAGAAAGAAAATAGCAGCAAAAAAGCTTCTCAACTGTCCTTGGGGAAACTCCAGTACATGCGTTATGAGTAGAATCTATTTATTTAAAGTGGATGATGTTATAAAACATAGCTCTTAAAGTTGATCCTGGAGTGCCGCAGCTCTGCACTGTTGTGCTCTAACCCTAATCAAACACAGCTGATCAAAATAATCAAGGTGTTCGAGACTACTAGAGACTGTTAGGCAGCTGTGAGTTGGAGGTGGTTGGAGATAAAAACCGCAGAGCTGTGGCCCTCCAGGAATTGAGTTTGAGACCATTGGTTAAAATGGTGCCCTTTTACCCTTCAATCTGTGTATGTTATATTTAAATAAATAAAACAAAATGAAACAAACTGAGAAAATTAGGTTGTAGATTAAAAAAGGTCATCAGCTTAGAAATTCCAGTAGGCCCATTATGAGCTTTGTAGCAGGAAATGATTGTGAATTTGAAAAAGATCATTTTAATCTCTTTGGATTGACTCAATATTTTCTCTTTTTGGAATTATTTTAATATAATAGCTAAATTCATATAATAAAATTGATACATTTTATTACAGCAATTTAAAAATTATTTCAATAGAAAACACAACGTGAAATAATTTTATGTAATGAAGTGTACATTCATTCATTTTTCTGAGATCGCCTCAGCGGAATGAACCGCCAACTATTCCAGCATATTTTGTTTATATTTATATTAATATTTATATTTTGTTTATATTATATTATATTTATTTTATGGAGCGGACGCCCTTCTAGCCGCAACCCAGCACTGGGAAAAGTGTATATATAAATGTAATGAAATTTGCAAGACCACAGAACGACTTTTTACTGTGTAGTAAAAAAAAATAGAAGTCAATGGTTACAGGCAGAGCTGCACAATTCTGGATAAAATAGGAAACAAAATAATTTTTTTGTTGTTGTTGCTTCAAATAAAGATAACGATTACCTCCAGATTTTGTCAAACTTTACTGTATTTTAATTCAGAATGGCAATAAAATAAGACAAACACTCTTTTCTTTCACTCTTTTCGTCAAACTGAGAGAAAGGTATTGAAAAACAATGTCATGTGTAATAAATTGTGGTGCAAAATTAAACTCAAATCATATTTTGATCCGCATCTCAACATCTTCTTCAAATATCTTCGTTTGTGTTTAACAGAAGAATGTCAAACAGATTTGAAACAACTAAAGACTGATAGAATTTTCAGTTTTGTCATGAACTATCCTCCTAAATCATAAAAACTGTCCCCTTCTTTGTAAATCAATTTCTGCAGGCATGATTTATTTATAGGTTTCATCCTATCTCAAATGTTGCTTTAGAGACGACTTTTTCAGTCTTTCCTCTTTGTGTTTAGCTGTGCATGTCATACTGGACAAAAGCTCAGCGGGTGAGGTTGTTCTGATGTGTCGTCTCTGAAGAGACGCTGCCATATCTCTTTGTGTCTGTTTGTATTGAGGTCTAGGTGGCAGGGGTAAAAAAAAATGCATAACAGCTTTGAACAGGCCACAGTGTTTCTGAACACAAACACTGCCTGCTTGTAGACCGACAGGATTGGGGTCAGCCTTTTTGATGATTTTCAGAGATGTCTTCTGCTCACCAAGCCTACATTTCATTCATATATAATACTGTAAAAACATACTTTTAAAAAAAAAAATAAAATAT